GCTGGGTGCACTGGTGCATGCCTGTAATCTCAGTGGCTCAGGAGGGTGAGGTATAGGAGGATCACGAGTTCAAAGCTAGCCTCAGCAAAACAAGGGGCTAAGTAACTCAGTGAGACCCTGTCTCTAAATAAAACACAAAATAGGGCTGGGGATGTGGCTCAGTGGTCAAGTGCCCCTGGGTTCAATCCCTGATACCCCTGCCCCCCCCCCAAAAAAAGAAAGAAACTATTGCTTGGCCTGGCACAGTGGAGCATGCATATCATCCCAGTGGCTTAGGAGGCTGAAGCAGGAGGATCACAAGTTCAAAGCCAGCTTAAGCAACTTAGTGAGGCCCTAAGCAATTCAGTGAGACCCTGTCTCAAAAAAGGTTGGGGATGTAGCTCAGTGGTAGAGTGCCCCTGGGTTCAATTCCCAGGACCACACACACAAAAAAAAAGCTCTTGAAGGAGCCAGGTGTGATTTCCCATTGTATTCCACAGAATAGCCTAGTAGGGTTAGTGTTAGTATAGTTGATTCCCAGATTTATCCTCCCTGATACTGGGAGGGGCATATTGCACCCCTGATGCTGCCTTCCTGGTACCCTTAACTCTGTTGCTTCTTCTTTTCAGAACGCCAGTGGAACATGTGGATTCCAGGATTTGGTTCTGAAGAAATACGGCCCTACAAAAAAGCTTGCACCACAGAAGCTCATAAACAGGTGAGGAGCCGGGCATGGTGTCGGGCTACCTTCTAGGGGTCTCACTTCCCCCGCAAAGCAGGTTTCATTCTCTGGACCAAAGGTCAGAGAGGCCCAGAGGYAGCAATAGTCAGATATTTCCTTAGCACTGTGCTATTTCTATATGGAATATCAGTTTTTTCTCTCAACTCTGATGGGCTTCATTTCAAGCTTTTTTTTTTTTTTCCTCTCGGTACTGGGGAGTGAATCTAGGGCTACTCTACATCCCCAGCCCTTTCTTATTTTGAGACAGGATTTCACTACGTTGGAGAGACTATTTTCGAATTTGTACTCTTCCTGTCTTAGTCTTCCAAGTAGCTGGGGTTACAGGCAGGTACCACTGTGCTTGGTTCAAGCTCACCCCCTCCCAATCTCCTTAATGAAATCTTCCTTTTGTTGCTGGTTTGAACATGCCCTTGAATAGAGAAAGGTCAGAGGAAGCAGAAATATCCTATGCTTATGCTAAGATGGAGTATTCAGGCTGCTCTGCTAAGCATTCTGGCCCACGTCCCCAGCTTAACCTTTGTTCTCTACCCCTCTTAACAAGGAACCTAGATGTTGGTGTAAGAATTAGTCATTGGTCAGTCCAGTAGCAGTATTGGCCTCCCTTTGAAAGGCTGTTATCCTTTCTGCTTTAACTGGCTACTCTGATTTGAAAAATGAGATGTTTAATGCATTCTGCTGTCATATATAACATGTTAGAATTTAAAAAAAAAAAAAGGAAAAAAGGAAAGAAAGAAATGAAGAGTGAGATGTTTCCAATCTTGATAGGCACTGGGCAGTCCTGGGTGAATGTCCCTTGCTTTTTCATCTTTGGGGTCTCTGGAGTAGTTGTTTACAGAGTTCATAGAGGGAGCCCTCCCAGGAAGCCACCAATAGCCTGAATCAAAGGTCCATACTGTTCTTCTGAAGGGAGTTCTCCAGATTGTCTCTCTGGCTCTAGAGCTCTGTTTAGTTAAAAAAAATGGCATAATAAAGGGGTAACGTCTTGGTCAAAAAGAGTGAACAAAAGCAAGTTACTAAAAATGSAAACCCGTGATCTGACTGGGTCCACAGTGGGTTGTGGTAGAAGTTGTTAGTCTTCAGTTGCCCTTTACTGCACATCATCACGGGTGAAATTTTGACTCTCTTTGTGTTGCAACAGGTTTGAAACTGAGGCCCTTTTCCTATTTTCTCCATCATTAGAGAAAGAAGACATTGGGGTGAGGGAATCCTAGAAAACATGTTTTGCTGACCTATCCCTTATGTCCCCAAAAGGCAAGAGCTGTCCTCTTCTACTTTTAACCTTTTTGCCATTCTGATACCCCTAGCAGTTTGAGTCTTTTGGTGGGTGAAATGGACCTGCTGGCCTATCTCAGTCCCTGTACTGTGCTGTCTGGTTAAAAGAAGGCTGCTGAGCTTCTCTGTGACTGCAAGTCCCCAAGGGCTCTAGCCTATACTGTAGACCATGCTGCCTACTAACTGCATATGCATATTCCTAAAGCTCCTGACTCTAATCTGTATAATTGCTTATTTCTCTCTCCTTTCAGAGAATGGCATTGATCCGGAAAACAACCAAGAAATAACACACGGAAAGGTCAGGGAATGGACAACAATGTATTTGGAGATACTTGAGCTGAGA